TTTTTTTTTTTTTTTTAAATATAGATTTGTGAAGAAAGTGAAAAATTAAATACAAGTACCATTAAAAAAGGTAACCAACTGGGTTTTTAGGTTAGGTTATAAAAAGTAAGAAAAAAATAATACTAATTTCAGCAATATCATCAGTTTTATTTTCCCCGAGCCGGTTCACTTTTCACTTTTGGTTTACATGTAATTTACTATGGACGGATGCCAAATTTTCGATTGCACTTTTTTTTTTGCGAAACTGCGAAGATAAGGCAGATTATAATTTAATTATTATGTTAGGTTTGCTATTTTCTGAGATGCCAGCAGTCGAAGTTTATTGGGCTCGCCCCAAACCAATAGGGTAAATATGAAGAAATATGAAGTAGCAAAGGAGATAGAGTATCTGGTAGCAACGATCCTCGTTTCTTCGTATTCGTAGAGTATTTAATTTGTTTGCTAAACCCTGTAATGGTAAAATTTTGCGTACGGTTTAAATCGCAGCTCACAATGTCCAGATATTTATATCCACGTATACTTTGGGTAGCGACCAAACACACGTTTGGGAGCGAACTAAAGTGAGATGGCGTAAAACTTCGTGTGCGGTGTGTTAGCCTCCCGCCAAGTTAAAGCCTCGCCCAATGAAAAACAACAAAAAGCCACGGTGTTGGATTTGTGGTGGGAGAGACATTGCGTCGCCAAGTACTGGCGTTTACACCGGTGGACGAACGTCTAGCCACAATCCGCATCTAAACGAGATTCTTCAATCCGAGGTTGAGGCGTTCAAGGTTCTCTTCTATGAGCGCTTGGAGCGAACATATGTCTCCGATATAAAAATCGTGCTTGGCGATTTCAATGCCAAGGCGGGCAAGGAGAGGACTTTTGGCGCCACTGTCGGAAAATTCAGCCTCCACGACGAAACTTTACAAGAGCGTACAATTGCGGGCGTATCGATAAAAACAAGGGCTTCGTCTGTTTTGCCTACTCGGGATTAGATAGAGAAGCAAGGCGAATTGGTCTGGTGGTGAACGAGGACAAAACGAAGTATCTCCTGTCATCACACAAACAGTCAGAGCATACGCGTCTTGGCACACACTTCGTCACTGTTGACAGTTACAAGTTGGAAAAAGTAGACGACTTCGTTTATTTGGGAACCAGTATTAACACCAACAATAATGTCAGCCTTGAAATCCAATTGAGAAGTAAAGTCTTCTCTCTCTCCGTACAAAAATCACACTCTATAAGTCACCCATCATGCCTATGCTGGTGTATGGCGCGGAGTTTTGGCTCCACATGACAGAAGCTGAAGCTTTTTGTGTGATTGTTTCACAGAGACTGGCGTAGATCTCGAGATCTAAGCTGCACTCCAATAAGTAATTTTTACCATGAGAGGCAGTGCTATTGAGAAGGCGCCTATCTTACTACATTAAACGAGCAATTCTTGTATATACTAATATATATGTACATATGTATATCCATAGGGTTCTCGGACAACGATATTGATGCAATTTTGCACTCAGATAATGTTTTGCATTTTAAGGTTATCTGAATAGGTACTATCACCGAGAAGACTCGTATAAGGTTACCACCTATTCGAAATTAGTTACAAATTAATTAAAACATCATAATATTGGGCATTAAAAGGAAGGTATTTTAAAAATCCCTAATTTAAAAATAGTTTTAGTGGGGTTGCCACCTATTTTGAGTCGCATATGAATTTAATTTTTTGATTAGAAATAAAAGAAAAAAATTACTATTTATGTGTACCAAGAGAAGGATCTGATTTTTCTATATACAAAATGTTATCCCTTAGAATAATAGTGTAAGGTTGCCACTTAGTTTCGCTTCTACACAATTTGTCTAAAACATCGCAATATGGTTATCAAGTGAAAGGTATTGTTGAGAACTTTGGTCCGCAAATATTTTCGATCAGGGTTGGAAGCGTTTCCATGTAATACAAATTTTTATTTTGTTAATTTCAATCAGCATTTTTTTTGTTGTATGTATACACAGTACATATGTATACGCTCAAGATATGTACTATTCATTCCAGCGTATTTCTAAATATGGTTGCCACCTAAATTTAAAAGTAAGAAATTTGCTTAATAGATATCGAGGTGCAATTTTTTTTTTATTTATTTCCAAAATATTTGTTTAAAGCTATCCAAATGATCAGTATTTGATATCCAAACCTTGAAAACATTAAAAAGTATATATGCGATCCGATCAAAGCTCGGTCAACCTGGTACTGAACTTTTAAAAGAAGAGGTCGCCGCGACGGTTGGGTCGGTCGAAGGGTATTTTTCACACGAAACTCCATCAACCTCAATTTTTGCGCCCACATGGCAGAACTAATAATAATAATAGATTGGCGCTTACACATACGTACGATAGTGTTTGGCCGAACTTCTCCTCCGATTTGTGGCGTGCGCCTCGATGCTGTTACACAAAGGGGAAGGACCTACAGTTTTACGCCGATGCCGAACGGCGATTGTATTTTTAGGGAAGCTCTTTTCCAAGCAGTACACTGGGATTGGATATTTTTTTTTTGTTTTTTTTTTTTGATGTTGGGTTGAACCAGGCTTGAACCCAGGCCAGCGGTAAAAAGTATTGGCCCAGAGAATCTTTCACAATATATGCAACAGTTTATATATTTATTTTTTTCTGCTAATTTTTTATAAAAATATTTTTCATACTACAACAAAAAATATATAGAAATATAATTTATAAACTTTGTGGAAAACTCAGGAAAATTCCATAAATTTCTATTCAGATTTTTAGGACTTTTTTTGAGAATGCAATTTTTTAGTCCATTAAATTTTATGATAAAAAATGCAAGTTTGAAGTTACAAAAAAATTGCGTTGGTTTTAAAGATTTTTTTTTTTTTTGTTGAAGCTGTTTCGAATTTTTCCACACAAAGTATTTTCGATTTTTTTTTTTTGTATGGAAGAAAATGTGTGAAAAAAATTGCCCAGTGTCTTGGACTCGCTCACGGTGCACTCATAGCTAATGGGGAATGCTTAACCACTCTTTCGGTTGAGTCTAAATAATTATTCGCTGGCTAGACTTGTAGGAGTGCCAGCAGGCAGTAGCTTACCAGTTAGCGTAGTTCGTAGTGGTGACCCAAAGTTCTGAAGCTTGTACCCCAAGTGCTGGGGCAAGCACTTTGACTAACGTAACCATAGTTGAGAAAGCAGAATATACAATTTTTTGGAATAAGCATTTGGTAATATTAGTGATCGTTTGTTTTGCAATAATTAATAACCGATATAAGCTAACACATCTTAAGTGCTGTCACACAATAAATTAAGAGCCAAGCGACTATCTAGTCTATTCTAAGTACCCCGATTATATGAAATACACAAAAAAAAACCTGCCACAGTCATTCAAAGCGCTCAGCATAAAGCAAAACAAAATGAAAATCTAGTGAAATACATACATGAAGATATGTAGGACTATTTCTTGAAATAGAAGATGTACATACCATGTCCGTACATATGTATGTATGCATGCATGTACTATGTAAAAACAAGTATATAATTTTAGAATCACAAAAATCTAAAAATTAAGCTTTCTTGAGTTTTCTTATGTCTCTGCACTCTACACACGTTATTCCTTGTATTCGTGTTTTTCAAAAACCATTTTTAGCCTATAAATAAAAGAAAGAAACTGAAATGTACGAAGAATTTTCGTATTCGCAGGGACATAGTGACAAAAGCGACTAATGAAATTGCCGGTCTGCGCACAGACGTTCGCTCGCTCGTACCTCCTATGTAGTATACATACATAACTATATACTAAATCTGAGTATTTTGTTGGGGGGAAAAAACATATTTTCAGTTGGCACTCGCTGATTTTATTTTTTTGATTTTTTTAAGTATTGGCCGCTGTTTATTACCTATTCAATAGAGAATAAAGAAATTGTAAGTTTTTTTTTAAATCTTTTTTTTTGTGCCTTTCTGAATGACGATGACTATATAGTATATGTTTATAACTACATATGTACATACATACAGTACATGAATTTTAGCTACATATGTATGTATGCATGTGCGATAGGTATTTACGTGAACACCTCTTTTCAAAGTGTCGTATCATAATAAGCCGATTTTCGTCTTTTACATAGATTTTAATAATGAAGTGATAAAAAGAAAATATAGAGGAAATTAGTACATAAATAAACAGTGTTGGATATTGCCGAAAACAATTTTTGTTTATTCGTTATGTGGAAGCAAATGCGACACAAAAAAAATTCTAACAAATCAACAGTAATTTTAAGCCACTTGAAACTTGCATATTATTACACTAAAATTTAATGAGCTATAAAATTGTATATTCAAAAAAAAAAAATTAACACTTCTGAGAGTTTGAAATTTGGATGGAAATTTTGGTAAATTTCAGTGTTTTGCAAAATTTTAAGCTTGGGTTTATATATGGTATTTGTTAGGGAATGAACTGTATCTTAATTGAAAATTTGGTACAAAATGATATGTCCAACACTGAATGCATAAACAAGTAATTTGTAAGCAAGACAACAAACAACTTCAATGTTAATATAAAAATTTAGCAGTACCGTTAATTTCTTCATGCAATCCAATTATCGGAACTAAACCCAATTAGTGTGAGACCACGCTTGAGGTGCCATATTTCCGATAAAAAAGTTTCACATTCAAAAAAAAAATTATATCCATTCATCTTTATTTTTGAAGTCGGGTTAAAAACGGAAATTAGCACAGTCGAATATATTCCATTATCTGTGTTTTTTTTTTGTTTTTCTAATCCATCGATCTTCTAGAAGCAAGCTTTAGGGACACCTTACTTTTGAACTATATTTAAACAAAACCACTGGGTGCGTATTGTCTCTGCGCGCGGAATACGTGAAACTTAGTCTTAATCTTAATTTTCATCGTAATCCTAACCATAATGTTTGCCCAAATCTTAACCGTAATCTTCATCTTG